GGCGTGCCTACAGGAAGTGGCTTGAGTGGAAGGGGGTGAAGGGAATGTGCCCGTACTTGGTTAACCTCTTCTCCGGTTCTGCCAATAGCAAGGCGAGGCGGGTGCAAGGAACGGTTACACACACCGTCTCACCGTTATGGCACTTTCAACATGGTCTTCAGCCACGTCCATGGAGCTAATTCCACTCTCTCAGTCGCTTTCCACATGCACCACTTCATGTGACAGAGGAGATTGCACCGAAACGCTGCCCCTCCGCTCCGTCTCCACAACTACTACGTAGAGGATAGCAGTAAAAATGATGCCACCAACAATCTGACTTCGTCAACGTACCACAAAAGAAGGCCACAGATTCCGCCAGACTTGAAAGGAACATGGATGGACCCACACGACCCATCGTCTTTGCAATACGCGCCTCCACAGGAGCAAGACCAGCAGCACCTTTTCTCACCTCACTCTTATCACCACCACCACCGTTCTCCTCTTCACGCCTTCGACGCAGACGACGATGCTGACGACGAAGACAATGTCCCGATCCTTTCACCTTCCCACCAACACATCCACCAACACCACCACCGACACAACCGCCTCCTGAACTCGCCGTGCCTTCTTCCACTACATCGTTGGCATCATTCGCCATGCTCTCTCTACTCCCATAAACGCCCTCCTCCTCGTCATCGTCGTCGTCATCGTCATCATCATCATCCACCTCCTCTTCGTCATGCATAAGGAAGTCCTGCACCATGATGAAGATGTTGTCCACACCCACAGCCAAGACGAGGAAGGGAATGACCTCAATGATGATGAGAGTGGCGGGCACGCCAAGGTAGGACCACAAGCCGATGGAGGAGAAGACGGAGGCAAGAACAATTGACACACCACCAACGCTAAGCGAGATTTTCAGATCGATCTTGAGAAATTTAAAGAAGAATGTAAAAGGCGGTGACCAAGCCACTGCAAGTAAACATCACACATGAGTTTTTCCGCCTCCTTCCCCCAACCTCTGTGGTCAGCTTCTTTGTGACGACAATCGAGAGGACGTTCTGTCACTCACTCCCAAGGCCTCCACATCTCACAGCCATCGTGAAGAGTAG